CCGCACCTGAGCTGCTCTCCAAAGCGTGCTCCTCTTCGGTTCTGGCGTTTTCATCGTGTTGCTGCGACTCGTCACCTCCATCCGGCGTTTCTTCCAGAAGTGCGCTCACATCAGCCAACAAGCTAATATCGTTTCGGAATTTTTCTTCCCACTTGTCCAACACGTCCAAGCGTGCAGAATCCTGTTGCTGCTCCAGTAGCTCCCTATGTCCGTGGAGCAGTTCTTCAATGGCGTGCACGAGCTCCTCCGCCTTGCGTAGGTCCTTCCCAAGGTACCTACGGCTTGGACTCGACTTGCCAAATTCACTCGACAATCCTTTTAGGCACAGTGTGAGCCTTCGCCTCAGCTGCTTGCGCTCCGTAATGATTGCCTCGTCGCCAAAGGCTGAGCCACCCGAGGCGTCCAGGTTGTCTTCACTGGTCCCATCTTGGGCAGAGCGGTCCTGCTCTAATCCATCCATGGCCGAGGAAACTGCGTATCCCGTCGGAGGTGCCAGAAATGTTACTTTGGTTGGTTGGTTTTTTATTTCACTTCGCACATTCAAACGGGATGACGGCCCAATAAAATGACGGCGAAGGCTTAGCCTAGAAGTGGCTATGGAAGAACATAGTAAAAGCTATGGAAGCACATAGTAAGACAATAGGATACTAATAACTGCAAGTAAAAGGGGGGAGAGAGAGAATACGATGTATCTGTGATACTACGTGAGGATTACTGAACTGCACGGGGAGGGAGAGCAGAGCGATCAGCAGCAACTCGAACTACTCCCTACAGGCGTATGGTACACATGCATGCTTAAACTCAGGTAGCCGGGTAATTGTGCGGACCTCGCCAGGGAGAGCGTTCCACAGCAGAGCACCAGCAACAGAAAATCTCCGCTGACCGCGGCGGCTACGGTTTGCCTGGCTTAGTAGGCCATTTGACTGCTGATGGCGGGTAGGGGTGCCTTGTGCCGGGGTCAGAAGCTGGGCGAGCACAGGGCTGGTGCGGGCGTGGATGCACCGCCAGATGGTGATCGATATTTTCTGCCTGTAGAGCTCGCTAACACGGTACAGGGAGTCAGCAGTGAGCAGCGGCTGCATGGCTGTCCGGGGCGGGTTGCCATCGATACAGCGGATGGCTCTGTTTTGCGCGGTTTGCAGTCGTTTCAGTTGACCCTCTCGCATTGCGGCTGAAAAGCAGCAGGAGCCATAAAGCAGGTCGGGCATTATGACCGCCTTCACATACACCTGACGAGAGCGTCTTGATAGGCTTCGGCGTGCCCGCCACAAGGCGCCAATTTTCTTGGCAACCTTGGTGACCACATAGTTTACATGGGTGTCACAATCTAGGCGATTGTCAAGGTGAACGCCGAGGTAGCGCGCAGAAGACGCTGAGGGGAGGAGACAGTCGCCGCTTTTGACTGTTACTTCCTGTACATGCTGCTGGGGAGAGATAGTCAGAACCTGGCTCTTGGTGGCATTCAAGATGAGGCATCGGGACTTCAGCCAACCGGCCAGAGCAGTTGCCGCTGTGGTGAGGGTTCTGGACGCTTCCGCCGCTGATGCCTGGGAGTCGTACAGGGCTATGTCATCTGCAAATTGTACACTTGGCACAGGCGAGGAAACCAAAGGGACATCGCGTGTGTATATACTGAAGAGGACAGAGCCGAGAACAGAGCCTTGGGGCACTCCGCAGGTGCAAGCCAGAGCAGGGCTGGTTGAAGGCGAGATGAGGATTTGCTGCTTGCGGCCGGATAAGTAGTCGACGAACCAACTAAGGGCTTTTCCAGAAATTCCAACCGCAAGGAGGTCTTGAATTAACTTGTCGTGGTGCACTTTATCAAAAGCCTTCGACATGTCTAGTCGGCACAGCCCTGTGGTCTTGCCACTGTCTCTCGCCTTCTGCAGATTATCAGTCAGCACACAGAGGGCGTCTTCCGTGGAACATTTCTTGCGGAAGGCAAATTGTGTTTCGGGTAATGCCTTGGTCAAGTCCAAATGACGAACTAACTGGTGTTGCACTACCCTCTCCAGCAACTTGGACACTATTGGGAGAAGGGATACAGGTCTATAGTTGGTGGGGACTGATGGGTCACCGGCCTTGTACAGTGGCACGACAGACGCCAATTTCAATGCGGATGGAATGGTTCCAGTCCTCAGCGAGGTGCAGAACAGCACAGCAAGAGAATATGCAAGCAAGTCAGCACACTGCTGTAGCAGAGAGCCCGGTATGCCGTCACTACCTGTGGCTTTCCGCGCATCCAACTTCTCAAGGAGACGTCGGACGTCAGCAGCAGTCACAGGATCAAGTTCGGTCAAGGAGACGGGTCCAGCGGGACCGTGCGGGGTACAGAGTTGTTCAGGACGGTTGGGATCCGTGACAATGGAGTGGAACGTGTCGGCCACCTCACTGATGCTACAACTAGGATCTTGGCGGCGACGTGAACGCCCAGTGACTGCATTTAGAATGGCCCAAGACTTCCTAGGGTTGGCCACATTTTCTTTGCACTGACGGGAGAAGTACTCGTTTCGCTTGCGCCGATACGCGTTCCGAGCAGTGCTACGTGCTTGTTTGAACTCTGCTTGCAGTGTGCCGTTTGTCCTATCCTTCCGCCAACGGCTGTGCAGCCGCCGTTTACGCTGTTCGAGCTGGTGCAGCTCTCTGTCAGACCAGGGAGGTATCGCCCTCCGGGAAGGCTTAGAGTTGTGCAGCGGGGCATGCTTGTCCAAAACGTACAGGAACTTAGTGTGCCACTCTTTCCACATGCGATTTACATCATTGTGATCCGAGAAATCATGTAGAGAAGCCTCAAGGATATCTTGCCGAAAAGAGTTAATGTCAACGCCACGTATATTCCTGGTCAGCCGCGACGACGTGGATGACGCGGGTGGAACGTCAACGGCAAGCTGAATAAAGGCTTCCGCAGCGCTGTGGTCACTAATATCAGTGGGCACAACCGTTGCTTTCAATTAGGGTTCGTTGTAGAATGCTCAGAACACACTCTCACAAACAAACTACGCAAGAATCTTCACCACGCACAGATGGACACGTTCAGTGTTGACAGAAAACCAACTTCAACTCTCACCACTACAACGTATAAAGCAAGAACACAAGAATGGAATACACTTCCAAGAGAAACACACACCAAGCGAACTGCAAAGCAAAAGACACAACTGCTCGACAAAGCCAGACCAATAAAACCGAAACACGCAGTACCACAAGCCTCCACGTGCGCAGCGCGGGAATCTGGAGTGATTTGCATCGGTCACGCGACACGTGCAGCCACACAGGCGCGGGCATGTAAAACACGCATGCAAGCAATGCATGAAAGGTGCCAGTGACATGGGCGGAACAGTGAACTAAACGTAACATAGCATAATACCTAATAGTAACTTAAGAGTCTATGTTCCAAATTGGTCTAATACCTAATACCTAATAGTCTACGTTCCAAATTGCTCTGACTTGGGGAAACTCAATGCTTATACCGATACCGTATGTCCGCACCTTAAAAGCCATGGCGGTATATTCGATTATAAAGCCAGTCTCAGTTATAAAGCCATGGGCTTCATAAATGAAATGAGGTTTGAAGTACGTTTTGCAAAAATGAAGGAATAAGTACTAGGCTAACAAACTTACAGCCCAGCAGGAAAGGTGAACAAGTGGATTTGGATTGAAATTTCTGTGTGGACTTTGACTTTTATGGCATGGCGTAGTGGATGAGTCATTTTGCATCTAAAATAATTATCTAGGAAAGCAGCGGTGTTTCGAATATAAAGGCTTGGCTTTAAAGGCGTTGACATACGGTAAGCAGGGAGTGGTAAAAATACTGTATTTACCATTCCCTGTTTATAACTTATTGCAGCCTGAGCCGTAAAGCACCATAGGTCCCCCCCCCCCCCTTCTCTCTTCTGTCCCCCGTGAATTCCGCTGCAGAATATCAGAAATTCCGTGCAGAATTCGGCAGCTGAAAACAGTGAATTCTGCGGTAATTCCGCAAATCCTTCTATATGCTGCGGCAATTCTGCGAGGAAAAAAAGCGTAAAAAGTCACTAAAAACAGATCGAATTTCCGCAACCCCACCGAAGTTTGTTATCCCTATAAATTCTAAACAAAAACTATGCGAAATCCTGGTAAAAAAAATTGAAAGCTCCAAAATATGCTGCAAGTTGATTTTGAAAGTCACAAGGGGGTTGGTTTGACTGTGAACATCCATCGAAAGTCTCCAGAAAAAACAGTTTTCTCTCTTTTCTGCAATATTCCGTGGGATTTTCTGAATTCTGCGGACACTACTGGATTCTGCGGAAATTCTGCAATCCGCGGAATCGCGGAATTCACGGGGGACAGTCTCCTCTCTCTCTCTCTCTCTCTCTCTCTCTCTCTCTCTCTCTCTCTCTCTCTCTCTCTCTCTCTCTCTCTCTCTCTCTCTCTCTCTCTCTCTCTCTCTCTCTCTCTCTCTCTCTCTGCGCCCCCTGCTGATTTTCGACTTCATCCTATATATTACGTCAAATTATGGAGTTGAACCGGTGCATACACTACTGCCAGTGCAGGCATTCTGTTGGATGTAACTGTACACAATCCAGTACTGTGGTAGCAGTCTGGCATTTCAAACTAACTGTTACTTGATTGCATTGTTGCGCATAGTACTGCAAGCCTTCGCCAGGCGCGTAGCACAGCCGTTGGGGATGGTCCGGCCAGGGGGGGGGGGGGGATCCGGGGGGATTTCCCCGCGGAATGTTTTTGAAATTAGGGTGCAAAATCCTGCATTCTGGGCACTTTTGGCATTGTTTTACTATGGTGGTCGTGGTCGGGTGAAAAAGTGGTCCGGCCAAAGCCGGACCGGCCGGAGCGGCTGATACGCCCTTGTTCTCTCTGCTGGAGGTATTACATACAGCCCCTTCAAGGCATTCTGCCGTAGCTTGTTCCGTTTTGGCAGCTAGTGCATCATAGAAATATTAGCCGCATGGGATCCTATGCAGATCTTGTCTTCATCCTGATGAATGTTGGCATCCTCTGCACAGAAATATGCGGACACGCTTCCAATGGAAGACATCGGACGCACTTGCCCGGTGGATTTCGATGATGTAGATCGGGTAAAGTACGGTATACTCCTGGACACCCCCTGGGTTTTAGGCATCGTGGAGCCAGGAGATTGCATTTACGTACCCTATGGGTGAGTAAACGGAAGATTTCTGTAAGAAAATGTAAGACATACGTATGTAACTACGGTAATATGACACTGTATCAATTCTGAAGTTAAACATGATTGTACTATGCTCTTCGATTAATTTGATCAGCCACTCCACACTTGACGTGATCCAGTGCATTGTCATGAGTCCAGGTTGAGATCTCCAGTAGGCTCAGCAACTGTGTACACAGCTCACATTGACCCGCTGGCCACTCAGCCAAGTAGATGACGCCATGCACTTGGATGATGGTAGGTGCTGGTGACCTAGGTCCTTGCACCTCTCACAGCAAGTCCAACTACCGACAACCTGGTAAATAACGACCCTTCATGGTGTACGAGAAAAAGTCGTTATTCGCGAGTTGTCATTATTTGTGAGGCTGAAAGCGAAATGCAGTCAAACGGTCACTAGGTCTGAAGACTGGGTCGTTTCTTTATGATAGTTGCTCAGTTTGAAGCGATCCTGCCATGCACTGCTATAACTTCACACATACGTGCAATACCAAGAGTACATGTAGTAGTCCAGGGATGAATTTATCCTGTATCGCATCGCAGTTTGCGATGCAAAATCAATCTACTGCTACTCAAAAGTCACCATGACTCGCAGAAAACTGCGATACATACAGACTACCCATGCCTAGCCTGCGCTGTCAAGTAACATGCATACAGTGCAGTGTATGTGGTGCAGGCACTCAATCTGCGTGCACATGCATGATTCAGTCGTTTTTTTGCAAATGGGCCTTCAGGCATCACCCCCCCCCCCCCCCCAGAGTATGCAACGCCTGATCCAGCTCTGCATAGGGTCTTGGTCGAGCGTAATCGGATCTTTGCGTCATAATACCGCACACATTTGAGGGGAACCCAGGGAGTCGCGGGTACTCTCGGATCAAAAACAACGGTGACCTGCCTCGAGACCGGCCTTGCGCTGGTGTGAAGTGTACGCATGACATCAGAAGATCCGACTACGCTCGACCAAGACCCTATGCAGAGCTGGATCAGGCGTTGCACACTCTGGGGGGGGGGGGGGGGGTTATGTACTCTTGGTAATACTTATTCATATCTTCTTTGCCTTGGTCTGCAACTAGATGGTTGAGGTACACAACCTACCACCAGCGCACACTGGCCGTCGACTTCACCTGGAATCCATTGGTAGATGCACCGTCCACATGGCCGGATGCAGATGTTCTTTCAAACTGCTCGTACGATGGAACAGCTATTGATCCCGCGGAGGAATTTAGGTGAGCCAGGGTCTTGCATACCACTGATATCATGGTATCAGCAAGCTGTAGACGATATTTGGTCACATAAACCAGTTCATGTACGAGTATGTCAACACCAAGCAACAGATGTGATAATATTCCATTATCATCTTTGTACATGTACAATCCCTCCCCGTTCCAATTCTTTCCTCAGACGATCCGCAGCGTCCTTCGGCTCACTCCTCGTGTACACGGCTTGCACCACTTTGTTGTTGTTATTCTGCAGGTTCCAGATCTTGGAAGGCATAGGTACGGGTGACATCAGCCTGGATGAACTGCAAACACTGATGAGTGAAGATCTGCAAATAAGCAATGCAACGTCCGCAGCTGCAACACTAATTAACGCAGGGGACAGCAACTCGGACAAGACCCTCTCCAACAAAGAGATATTGGCGCTAAGCCGTGATGTCCTGAGTGAAATCAGCGCTCTCAACCATTGGAAACCATCTGTGCTAGAGTCATCAGACGACTCGCAGGACACTTTCGAAAACGATTCACCGACACCAGAGTCGGAAACAGATGCAGAGCACGATGAGCTGTGATCACGATGAACACAACCCTGTACACTTGGATTGCCTATCCCCGGCACTGGGCATTGCAGATACCTCAGTCGCACGTCACTGGTCTTTTCACAGTGCATTGGCATGGTTGTGATCGTGATCATCTCCACCAGTTACCCAGCACTGCAGTGTCAGTTCGCTGTAGCTACCTCAGTGAATGACTAACGGCCAGCTCAACAATTGCCAGTTGAGCAAATTCATTTTTTTAAAGTTGCCGAGCAGCCTCTTCAGCTAACTTGCCATTGCCAGTCTGCTGGGTATGCATGCATGGTAGCAACCCGTTTAGTGGCAGTTTTGGACCCGATGACACTTGATTCAAACAATCAGCTCTTACGCTAAGAGTTACCGAACTCCACCACACCCGTCTAAACTTTGAAAAAAATCAGTTTGATTGGTACTGAGTTCACTGTCAACAACTTCAACGCTGACCAATTTCCGATGTGGCCTACGATTGGACGTTGACCATCCGGCAACTGCAAGGCCCCTCGTCAGTCAGGTGTTGAATTTGGCTAATGGTCAGGGCAAGGACTATCACCCAATACACTTTCATATACAGTCGTCCCTCTCTAATCCGGCACTTTATAATCCAGCACCCTCGATAAACCAGCACAATTTTCAGTAGCCAAAATGTCCTCTTCATGCACATTGCAGCAGTAAATCAGATTTGTTAATCCAGCACCCTCCCTAATCCAGCAGATTTTCGTGGCACAAATGGTGCCGGATTATAGAGGGACCACTGTACATAGTTCAGGACCCTATCCAAGTGCACAACAATGTAGTCACAAATGGACACAGACAGTTTATACATGTATAATTTGACTGTATGTATGGAATACCTTTAGGTTTTCATTGTGTCAGGTGTGGTATTTTGTACTCACAATCCGATTCCAGATACTCACGTGCGGTCCCGGATCATTGCGGATAATCAATGTTCTACTGTATCATCAGGACGGGACGATTCTAAAACCTAACTCTTAATGACCCGATTACTTCATGGTCAAGCAGCATGAATGTCAGATAGGCAATTCATACACTATCACCACATGCCGGGCCGCAGGGACAAGGAGCAGCAACCGCAGGCACAGCCACGTTCAATGACCAGTAGAATGACACATATCCGAGTGATTGATTGCCCGAAATGCCGTGTCACGCTGAAGTGAAGAGGCAAACCGTGATGAGGTTTTCTTCCCTCTCTAAGTCATGATCTTTGCTACACTCTCTGGGTCACATCATCAATAGGCATAATGCCGCAGAGCTGGAACAGGGCCGGGCGTGATAAAATTCATCTTGCTTGTCTGTCTCTCCACACAAACGTATCACAAAGCACTCGGTACAAGGGATAGGCAGTGTGATTGTTTAGAACTACAGCAGAGTCGTGCGTCCAAGAACGTTGTTTCCAAGGGGCTAGCCTGGGACGTTCTTATTTTTTCAGCAATCTGGCTGCGTTCTTATAGCACGTTCTTAGAAACAATCCGTACTGAATCATAACGTATCCCACAAGCTCCCAGAAAACCAACACTGACGTTCTTAACTTTAGGCTGTGGCGTAGGCTGGACGTTCTTGGGCTCCACGTTCTTCAGCGCGCGACTCTACTGTACAGCAGCTGGCTTCAAGCGCATGCTAGTAATAGCTCCAGTCAAGAGTCCATGGCGACAGCAGCGTGCATCTTCTACATGGGTGGTGGTGTAACGGAGCCTCATTCCTCAATCATAGTACATCATGGCTGATACAGATCGATACCAGCAACTTCACGCGGCCATAGTACTATACATGTAGTGCGTACAACTGACTCAGCCTCAGTTGGGCAGCTTTTTGAATCCTGGACAAGGCCGAATGCTGCTACTACTTACCCCTCTTTTTTTTTTAATCCTGCTTGCATTATTCATCACTAAAGTGAATTAAGTGATGCACATGTAATTCAGGAGTTTTGCCATCATCGGACATCAGCCGATTTGAACCGTGTGCAAAGTGACCGTCTGATTTTCATTCTGTGACTAGACGGTTGTTGGTCTTAGGGCCGTTAGGCCACTGTGACAACTTCCTCGTCAGGCCACTGTGACAACTTCCTCGTCAGGCCACTGTGACAACTTCCTCAGTCCCTTTTACATACAAGACAGTACAGTCCGTATCGCCTATAGCGTTGATGTTTGATTTTGAGCATTTTATCACTATAAGGGGCCGTCCGTAAATATCGATGTTTTTTTAGAGACGATATTGGTGCGTCTGGGGGGGGGGGGGGGAGGGGGTTTGAGCCATGTGCGTCTTTTCGAGCATCAGAAAAATATCGATGTAAATATCTGAAGTTTTGCCGATCCCTGCACGCGGACGTCTAAATGGCTGTACAAGAAATGTGAAACCAGCTTCCGTTCGCGGAGCTAAAACTCGCGACACAAGAACAAAATCAAAAATTGGAAGCTGTACGCCCATGGCGAATTTCAAGAGCAAAAGAATGAGCTATTGATTGTGGAAATCGGCCGAACGATGCCTGCAGGAGACCTTTTTCAAGACGTAGAGGCAGTGCGAACAAACACGGACGAACTCCACAAGAGTTTCCAGTCTTCACTGTCTGAACAAGGATTTGAAAAATTCTTGGGTTCATATTATTGACAAAAAAGGAAAAAATGAGCATCCAAAAATATTGATTCCATGATCTAGATGTACATGTGCGTCTTCTGGGGGGAGGGGGGGGGGGGGGGGGGTCAAGGGAGAGAAGCACCAATATCGTCTCTAAAAAAACATCGATATTTACGGACGGCCCTTAAGCGATATACTACTATGATCGATACTGCATGCAATGTATGCGAGTGGGGTATCAAACGACTCAGCGCGCCGTGCACATACGCACTACATACATGTACAATGTCATGTAGCTGGCTGTAGCTCCTGACACAAAAAAAAGCATTTCCTCATGATGGAGGCATATTTTGGCAACTTGTACGAGCAAAACTCACCAAACAACACTCACTGGACAAGTTCTTCACGAAGAAGTAACACCCTGTTCTCCTCTGATATCGCTTGATTTTACATCAATCACTATAACCGATGCAAAAATAATGTACCGTAAAGTCCGGAGCAAACGCCCACTTCGCAGCAAACGCCCACCCCAGCGGGTCCATACTATTTTCGTCTTTTTCAGGTCAATATAGTTGTAAACAACTGGCATGAAGGTCGAATGCGTACGAGAACGACTGTAATGCCTACAAACTGCCTACGTCCTACCAGGAGGCTGTGCAAAAACGATTGTCATTATCTTCCTGCAAAGAAATAACTTCTGTCGAGATTTCCTTTCATTCGATAAATGTGTTGTCTTTGTGGTAGTTCGTTCTCCATGTGGTACGAGTAATGCCGTAGAAATTTGTGCGGTGCCACGATGTCGCAGTCAGGAACAGAAATTGTTCTGATAAAGCGTCAGTCAACGACTTGACTGGTCCCAGTATTGCAGTTGCAAATCGAACAGGGTATGTCACAGAAGCTACACCTACAAAGCCGCTGCTAACTTGTTGAAAACTCCGAAGTGCCCGAGAAAAACCGATGATTTGCCTTTGGGCGCTGTGTGATCTCGAAATGATGGCTTGAAACACCGTCAGAAGTGTATTTGGTTCCTTCAATACTCTGTTCTTCGCTACCTTGTTATTCGGAAGAAAACCCGGTTCGGATTTGCGAAATAAAACAACCATCATTATAAAATCACTACGAGCTAGCTCGTGGCTAGTGCCCAAAGAAATTTTGAAACCCGGAAAGTGGACATAGTTTACCGTAGCAAAGTGCTCTTCCCGCTACGGTGTGAGATGCACTTTCGTACAGTAGTGGTGACAGTGCATGGGGTCAGTGTGTACAGGCCAGCAGATCTTGCAAAAATGGGGTGGGCGTTTGCTCCGGACTTTACGGTAATAAAGGTCTTTTGAAATATGAATTTGATCACTATAGGCGATATACTACTATAGACGATTATTACTATACACGATAACTGTGTATATTTAGTTATGGCAAATGAAAATGAATTTGAGAAATTGATCGCTATATCCGGTATATTACTATAGCCGCCAACCTTATAGGCGATACGGACTGTACTCATTTTCAGAGCCGCACAATGATTTTTAGGAAATATGCACGTAAGATCAATGCCCAACTAACTTCAACACGGACCGTTTTGCGCGAAATCCAACGGTATTGTGTGAGTATCTTTTTTTATGAACTTAGAACAACTTCATATCTTTTTTTATATCCACGGAAACCTTTCAGGAAATTCCTTTTTATTTGCAGCTGGTCTAATAGGGCTTGAAAGTGATGACGTCAAAAACGGCCAGGGAGTAGTAAGTTGACATCAGATTTCTATTTTGGATCCACAAAGGTGTGACTTTGCTATTGCCTTAGTATGTGGGTGCATAGCAGGGAGTCGTAAAATATTTTACGACTCCCTGGTGCATAGCAACCCACTCATGCCGTATGCAGGCGTAACTTTTACTTCGCCACCAGTTGTCACCCCGCCCCCAGTAGCCAAATCAGTCAGTTTCACTGGCTACATCACCTTGAGTAAGACCGCTTGAAACGTGCTTGGATCCATACAAAAACTGGATCCAAGTGGATCCAGTTTTTGAATTTTTGAAATTGTTGCTGTGCTGTGACGTAGCACTTTCAAGCCCTATAAGTATAAGAGTACACAATGTCATGTACATGACATGTTGTAATGCTGGTAATATTATAGATCCTGAACATGGCCAATAAAATTACTCACGCATTACATGGTGCATTGCCAGATGCAAAGATGCACCCAGCAGTCCGCCCAATTCCTGACCTAAGTTGTATCACGGTTAGAATAGAAGGTCGCAATCTAGGCAGCTACTCACAACCGCCGCCCACGCCTATGCCCATGGCACCTCTCTGCTCTTACTAGTCTTAGTTTTCACTCTTTACATCAGTTCTGAGACACTACATACATCGGCCCACAATTTGGCACAAAATTAATAAAACTATCGTACTACATATGCGAGTCGCCGGCGCGGCGCCATCGATGCCACATCAAAATACTTATAGGGATACTGTGTGTGAGGCTAGCTTGTGTATCGCGTGCGTGTGCGTCTCAAACGTGAGCACAATCATACTCTTGCAAAGCCAAAGCCTCAAAATGAGTCAAAGGCATCGTAGATAATCTGGATAGTACAGTCCATACTTTGGACCATAGATCTACGGTCCATAGTCTAGTCTACGTAGATCATGGTAGAGTACCAGGTCTACGACGTAGACTCTACAACATACACATTTTCAGTCTGCAGCATGCATGCGCGTGCATGTAGACGATACTCGATAGGCCACATGTACGTGTACGTGTGTGTAGCTAGCTGCACGCAGTTCCTTTTCGGCCTTGAACATCATTTTCGTTGAATCGGCATTTCAAACCAGAAAGGCAGATCATGCTTGCACACAACGAGAGCCATGGAATCAAGTAACATTAGTTTCCGAAGTTCATGTAGCATTTTATTTCTCTTCCTCTTTTCAATTTGCATTGCTAGTAGAGTGAAAACAAAACCAGTGTTGCACTTTGCCCCGATGGGCAAAGATGCTCATTGTTCGTAGATGCACCTCACGTTGTAATTTTTCCTAGCCTCGCGATGGCTAGTAGAGTTCGCAATCTCTTTGATACTTTTGGGGAGACGAGTGACCGACATTACAGCAGAACGAACGCTCAGGAGTAAGTCATTCTTCTCTAGTTTACATACAGTGTAGCTCTCTGAGCAGTATTTATTTTCCTTCCTGCTTGTGTGTGAGTGCAGGAGACTCATAACCGCTGTTGAGCATGGAGATGTGCATTCGGCAGGCTCTCTTCTCCGAAAAGGCATATCACCAAACTTCATAGTACGTTGCCATTCATGTGCACTGAGTATCAGTATTGTACTGTAGATGTCAGGCAGTATTTTATTCAAGCCTTGCTTGGTAGTTAAACGTGTCTCCGCATTGTGGTATGCTGTCAACATAACACATATCAGATAGTGTACAAATCACAATCTGTAGGTCACTCATTTGGTCAAGTTTTTTGGAATTGCAGCATGCACGTGTTGCTCAGTCCTGGGGGGCCTGGTGCAGAGTATGCTAACAATCCAGCTCTTCTGGCTGTGTCCCAACATCATGCTATCTCCTGCGGACTACGCGATTTTGTGGCCGCCCGGTTTTTTTGCACAATCGTCTGTCATTCTCATTCTGGCACACGTTCCATGCTGACCTCGTGTAATCCTTGAAGTTATTTTAATCTGAGAGCCCAGCACCAGCGTGCGATCACTAGCACGCCGTATTTTCAGTTGAAGTACGTCGATATAACTGTGAGTAGCGCTATCATTGGCAATGGGCAAGTTCAAGGTTCAAGGAGTAGTGACTGATGGGCCTTCAGGGAAGTGTGGAAAAGTGCTCTCCCTACCGACGACTGAGGCAGAGCACCTCGACAATCGAGACTGCTATGCTGCTGAAGATAGCTGGAGATCTGTATCAGGGGGCAGAGCGCCACTCACACTCACTCGTAAGACACAAGTTAGCCGGTTCAGGGTTGTTTACCTTACTCTGCCCAGTGGAGAAGGAGACTTCATGACTGCGGCATTCAGCTTTGACTCTAACTAGCTACACTGACTAGACGGAACAGTGAACAACAAGCTCGTCTCAACAACGTTGACCAGAGAGCAACCAGAGAGCAACCAGAGTGACACCAGAGTGACTACTCATCATGTCCACCGTTATAGAGTTATAGCTGTCCCTCCAGGAAATCGCGATTCCACGGATGCAACAAATTTCGCGATTTTGGCCCAAACCCGCGATTTCCCGCGTTTTTTGTTGTTTTCTCCACTTCTTTTTACATTTTTCTGCATTTTTCACGCAGTATACAGTGCTTTCCGTGATCCTGTACGTAGGTTATTTCCACAGTACGCAAATAGCGATTCTAAGGATACAACAAATTTCGTGATTTGGCCCAAATCCGCAATTTTCTGCCAATAATTCCGCGAGTTCCTTGCAAGTTCCGCATCTTTCCGCACTTTTCGCCGCATTTTTTGTTGTTTTCTGCCGCAAATTCTTGCGCAAGTTTTGGAGGATTTTCTGCAAATTCCCGCAGGGACAGTTATAGGTTACTAGTATGCAATTTTATCATTAGTTGATCTACTTTGGTAAAGTTGCTGCACAGCGAAGCACTAGCCGACTCTCGCTGGATACACAGCGCCCATAAGCGGTTCCGCTCACACATCACCGTGACATCATTCGCATAACCTCTACTTCCAAAGCGACCGAATATGGAAACGTAACCCCACAACAGGCGGACCGTGATCACGAGCTGTTGGGGGGGGGGGGGGGGGGCTTCTTGAAGCACAGCAACTGGTAGACATAGCTCTGGGCTATGATGTCATTGATGATTTGACGGGCAACCAGGCGGTATTGCCATGGTACTGCCCTCCAGTGGAGGATGTGATCCAGTTGCTAGAGATTGGAGATGGCTGCACCATTCTCACCTACATGTATGTGTCATATTCACATAGTGGAATGATGAATGCTTGCTGGGTCCGGATCTTGTTGAGAGAGGAGGTCGGGATGGTGTTTGGCTTGAAAGATGTCCAGTGCTGGTGGTGGACAGTTGTGGACAACCCACTGCGTCGTTTCAGTGCTACCGGTAACAAGTCGTTCGGACAGAGACAGAGATAGAGAGAAACAGACAAAGAGAGAGGCAGACGGAGACAGACAGACACACATATACAGAGAGAGAGAGAGAGAGAGAGAGAGAGAGAGAGAGAGAGAGAGAGAGAGAGAGAGAGAGAGAGAGAGAGAGAGAGAGAGAGAGAGAGAGAGAGAGAGAGAGAGACGCACACACACAGAGACACAGAGGGGACACACACACCGCAATAGACAAGACAGACAGACGAAGATAGACAAGACAGACAGACGAAGAGAAGCAGAGAGACAGAGAAACAGAGGTAGAGAGAGAGTGAGGAGATGAGAGGAGACACTCTGTGGGGCTTTGTGGCGGGTGGCGGTTATGCTCTGTGACTTTGTTGGTGCGGTCTGCATGTCCCGTCTCTGTCTCTACTCATTGAGGACGCGAATGGATACTGTGTCATCATAGCCTGGGTTTGGATCAGGGCAAACTTCGAGTACGCGAATTACAGAGCCGTGTCGTCAGTATAGGTTCTTGTCTGCGCCTGGGGCCTGCAGAATGTGGCCTTGCTAGGCGCAGGGTAGGTATGGCTGGGGTATGGGTGCAACCACACCTGAAGAACCCCTGCTTTGATTGGTACAATGTTGGGACAGTTGGCGTGTAGCCACCACTAGTCGGGCATGACATTGTGTTTCTGAGATTGTCGCAGTAGAAGGTTTCAACAGTACGTTGCTGTTCCTACCGAGTGTTATATATGCGAGCACAGTGTCTTAACTGTCTTTACCACATAGCCGGATCTTGTGTTGTCTGGGGACCGCATTGAGCGTGAAACACCATCCTATTCCACCTTTCATCAGAACCCCTGGGCATTTGATGCTTGAAGCCGGGACAAGTGGCAATGGGTAGTCAGACATGGAGACGTGTACTGGCTAGAGCTGTGGGTCTGCTTTCCAAGATGGCCAGGCGTGGGTCAGGTTATCAGTGTTTAAAGGAAGGGAAGTCATTGTCTTCATGGTGTAATTACCGGGCAGAGGAAGCCAGGCTGCCTACGTGTGATGGAGGCAGACGTGTGTCCAACCGGGTCTCGTCATCTTGGAATATTTGTGTAGTATTGTTCTTGTGTAGTAGTCGTTTGTGTTTACAGGCTAGTCTTATCCTAAAGATGCTCAGAGGTTGCTTGCGGTGATGATGTTCTACCACTCAGACTTTGCTAGGCGTGTGTCTGAGCTGCTCTGTTCACGGAATGCAGGAAACGGGCCTTCGATATTTTGCTTGCAACACCCCACCGTCGTGTGTCTCCCGGCTCTGGTCTTGGCACTAACGGCGGTAGAACACTCCGGTGTCTATATCCGTGGGTCTCTTGCTGGAGTTGCTAGCATCTTGGTGGGGTCAAATGATCTGTACCTCGGTGAATGTGATGGATCCTGGCCTAACAGATGAGTTCAGTTGAGCCTAACAGAAGAGTCAGAGAGTTTGTGGACATGTGGCCTATTCCAGTGAGCCGGGTTGTAACGCCACAGGGCCGTTGTTCGGCGGGATGAACATTGATACGTTAAGCTCATGTTGAGCACATGTATGCTTGTAATATGGTCAGAGAGATCAAGTAGATACTAATGACAGTCCCTCAAGGTTTCGCAGCTTGATCGCCTTCAGGTCCTGCAGAACCGAGCGGCGAGAGCGGTATACGGTTTGCCGCCTCACACCTCGGCTCAGCCTCTGCTCGAACGGATGTCCCTGTACAGAGTTCGGGAGTGCTACGCCCAGAAGCGGCTCGTCCTGGTGTGGCGCTGTGTCAATGGGAAAGCCAGCAGTGTCCTCCAGGACCTATTCTCACCATCAGCTGGCAGCACCACCCGGCACCAGGTTTCCAGGGGCCTCACTGTCCCCTCGGCACAGTCAGAAGCCGGCAGATCTCGCCTGGCCTTTCAGGCAGCCTTGGCCTGGAACGCTCTCCCAAGGAGTGTAAGGGAGATCAAGGCTGCCCAGCAATTTAAGCTTGCCTCCATCCCCTACACCTTGCAATGAATGCTCTGTCTGACTTTTCCCGTCCACACACCACGTCATTTACTCTTCTCTGCGTGCTTGTGCGCTTATGAACTCTTTGTGTTCCCTCTGTTGACGCTTCAAAATCGCTCTATTGACACTGCAAAATCGCTCTGTTGACGCTACAAAATTGCTCTGCGTGCTTGTGCGCTTATGAACTCTTTGTGTTCCCTCTGTTGACGCTTCAAAATCGCTCTATTGACACTGCACAATCGCTCTGTTGACGCTACAAAATTGCTTATCATCTCCCTCCCTCCCTCCCCCCCCCTCTCTCTCTCTCTCTCTCTCTCTCTCTCTCCCCGTAGCTCTCTCCCTTTTGAAATTCGCTTCCATAGAATTGGGCACCATTGCCCGTTTGGCCTTGCGAAGCAAAATAAAAATCAACAACAACAACAACAACAAGTGCGGGGCGACCCATTGGGTAGATTGGTCACGTGGTGTGTGCTGTACGGACTGGCTGGCTTCGAACATCTTCTGGGAGTAAGTTCGACTATATTGCTTTTCTCTGTGGCAAAGTCATCGTCCAGCAGCCGGTGGCACATTAGGAGCTATGTGAACACTTGCATCAAGCTACTGCTACATTGCAGTTGTCACAAGGAATACATCTAGGTTGCTGCGGGATCCTTCAAGGGCTTGGTGGTGTCTCGCATCAAGATACAATACTAAGTGATTGTAGTTCCCACCAGGAAGGCATCTAGGTTGCTGCAGGATCCCTGGTGGTGTACTACCCAGAAAGACTTGGGGTTAGTGATCACGGCCGATTGCAACTTGAATGGTACTGTGAGAAGCAGATGCATGGAATCAGGGTTTCCGAAAGCAGTTTGGTGATTAACCTAGACAACCATGCCTGCCTTGTATTGATCACGCTCCTTCCAGAACGGGCTGCAATAGGCAAGAACGAGGGTAGCGTTATCCTTGGTCACTTTGTGATGGTTGATTTCGTCTCGGGGAAATTGCAATGCTGGTGGCACAGACATACATGTATGTGGCACGCTCAAGACCGTTGGTCTTGCTACAGAACCATGGATGTTGGCTTCTAAGCTGAGTTACATTCTTTTGTGTAAAGACATTATCCGGAGGGTATAAAGTCGATGTTTGGAGCAAGGTGCACCTCTAGCGTGTCGGAGTGAGATGTGATACCTGAAAGGCTTCACCTTCTCAGATTGGCGGCGGGATGCTGGTTTTC